TGGTTCCGCACCCTTTGCCTTGAGGTCGCTCTGTGTGGTCTCTCGTCTGGGGAAAAGCCTTAGGTTGGGAAGATCGACTCTGCCACTAATAGTGCTTGGTTTGATCCCATCAACTCAGGGTAGGCCCGGGGATGCCCGCCACACCTGTTTCAATTTAGACAAGGGCTAAGTCCAAGCTCGGTGAATAGTGTACATTTTGAGAAAAACAATATGCTCAGGTATTAGTTTGAAATGAAGAGTTGTAGAGACATGTTTTGAATTGTACCTAAATTGAGTGTCCAGGACACACTCTCACTTGCTAAATTTGCTGTATTAAAAACAAGCTGCAAATGCCAATTTTCAAAAGTGTGTCTTGTTTATAGACAGCTCTCTTGAAAGCATTATTTCACAGGAAGCTTGTCGGTCCCAAAACTTTCTCAACTCTAGTGTACTATAAACAAGAATTTTATCACATATGGACAGCCTCATATGTGGGATTGCATTACCTTTATGGAACTATACATCTAATTGCGCTGAAGGAAAGTATGATTGTAGTCAGAGATATGTGTAGGTTGATTACGGGGCAATGTTTATGTTGAGGTATCCATGAGGCAGCATGTTTGGGCATGAAGTTTATCAATGGGCATGCACAATTCAGTAACACTCGAACGATCCTACGTGCTGTTGGCTTATTTTTTTTGTTACATTTAACTGTTGGCTGCAATTCTCACAGTGTATGTGGTCATTGAAATCTAATACAATTATTTTTATGTGAATCATTCCCTCCATAATGATAGATGAAATGGGCTTTTGGTAACCAGCAGTGTGACCATGCCCTGTTGCCTGCTACCAAATGGTCAGCTAGATAGTCTAAACCATCTCTCGTTTGGGTTGTGTTAGTCAAACTATAGTTAACTATAGTCATCACTGGAACTTGTTAGATACATGTATGACATGACTTTAGAGGTGCACTCTTCAAAGGTCATTATCTACATAACTGCAGTTACACACCCAGTCACGTTGAACTGGCACACCCAGTCACGTTGAACTTAATTTTGTGCGTGACTTATTCACTTTGATACTTGGCATATAGGATGTTGTCCTTTGTCACGTGGCCTAACCTTAAAGTGCACTCTCAACAAGCAAAATCAACAGAACTACTCATCTGAGCGATTGAAAGTTGCATGAAAGTGGTCATTTAGTATAGAGATTTTTAAGTCACTGATGCACCTGATCCTGGCTCCAGTCTATTCTGACATGTAGCATGCTTTACAGATATTTCTGCATTCGGATTTTGGACCACCACTTTGAACTTGCATTCAAAAAATCAGTCAGAAGTACATAACCTTGAATGAGTGAGTCGCTTAAAAATTGCATAGGCATGCTGTGCAGTTACACTGGTTCCCCTTGCTAAATTAAAACTGTAATAGAAATGCTTGAAACCATTCTGTAGCAGTGGAGCCATAGTGGCACGTAACTGTAGTTGGCAACATGAGAAATGTCAGAGAGGCATGGTTAAAACATCAGAAACTAGGAAAATATTAAACAAAGATTTCTGCATGTTAAGCCATAAAAAGTAATAAGCCTGTCTACAGAAGTGGGAGAATGCCAAGGAATGGCATGCAAACTGTCATACTTGCTTTGTTGTTTTCAACTGAAGAAATTTACCATTTCTGGCTCTCTGCCAAACTCTTCCTCCTACGCAATCAGATGCATAGTTTTGGCTCAACCAGTTTTATTGATCTAAAATTCTTGAGAAAGCTGAATGGATAGTAAAGTTGACTACTGCAAAACTGAAACCTATATTAGTTATTTTTATGTACAAAAAATCTATTTGTGTATTTTAGAGGTGGTAAATATTCTGGGACAGCATTTACAAGCTGGGTGTGCCCTCCATAGGGATTGAAAAACTTCAATTTTTTGTGCATAGTCAGTCAGGGCATCAAGGTTTGCTGAGTCATAATTAAATAAGGGAAAGTTGTAGGGGGCCGTAACAAGCTAAAATTTTTCAGGATACATTTGTAGAACTTACGAATAAGGGTAGCTAACTCTGTTATTTCAGTTTTTGACATTAAATGCATATTGCTTCAAAGAAAAAAGGATGTTACTTGTGTGAAAAAAAATACTCTGCATAGTAGATAGTTTTTCCAGTCCTGGGCCCGTGTGCCTAGGCCTCCAGAACTGAGTACTTTGGCTTCCAACCTTATGTGCATAGATGACCCCTAATATATTCATCCCCCTTTTTTATTGTTTCAGCACAAAGCAAGTGACACGATTCCACAGTCCCTTTTTGGTACAAGCCTACAAGACATTGTCCCAGTTGAGAGAGCAGCTTGCTATTGAGTGCGAGAATGCTTGGCTTCAGTTTCTAGAGTAAGTATGATGTATTATGTATGTAATAGTAGATCTAGAGGTGTATACAGCCTCTACACTCCCATACACGTCATATATTTTTCCCCTGATTTGTCTGCTAATAACTCATTACTTAAAGGACCTAAACATATTTTTATGCAGTCTTTGATAATGTATCTTAATTTCGAGTTTTACCCTATTTTCATTTATAAGGGCATATTGGTATGTTGGAGGTTTTATGTTAATGCAAATATACACACATGTATTTCATTACAAGACGGCATAGTAAAGACCTGTCCACAAGGATTCTGCGGAGGCAGAGATCAGATGGTGGGAAGAGGGACAGCCCAACCAATGTGTAGACTGCATGATCCCACTTGATCAAAACACACAATATTAGATATTAATCCTTAAGTTTCATAAATCTGAAATCTTACTCCTAGTTGGTCAAAACAATTATGAGATTTATTCCGAATTACTTGGAAAGGAGTGCGAGTCGTTGAAGGTGGAGTGAAAGGTAGTGCATTTTGCTTGGCACACGTGCGCATGCACTCATGTTCACGTGCAGTGGCAATAGATTATTCATACACTTACAGTTAAAGTGAGTGGATTCAATTCCTATGACAGTAACTTTAATTAACTCATTGATGAATGAGGATAACCCTGGCGGTAGCCCAGCAGCATAGCACCTCAGTCGCGACGGCAGGTGCACCACAACACAAGCAGTCAGTGATGCTTATCCATCGCTTTCCTCAATTCAAATTGCTTCTGAAAACACTGGATATTTGTCGAAGCAGTCATACAAAACTACTTGGCATATTACTTATTTACAACTGGAAAGGTTTAAAATCTACTCTTATTGTGTTGAGTGTTGTATGGGAATGATCGGTTCAACACATAATTGCATGGAAACCTGGATAACACCAAGTCTCAGTTTGCAAGATTCCTGACTGGAACTACATATGATGTATAAGTTCATGGCACCTCGTTTCAGCCTATCGACTTCCCCGCAGGTCTTCAAGAGAAGTCTGAAGGCTCTGGGAGCAGGAATAATATCAGAGCCTTTTGATATCCAAATGACTGGCTCATTGAGGCCAGTTGAATCCTTTGCAAAACGTTGAAAATTATCACACAACTTGGATTTCTGATCAACAAGGATGCCTACATTCCTGGGAATGGTACTAGACCTTGAAACAGGTATCACCCTCCCAACAGACATAAAGGGGTGTTAATTCTCTAACAGTGTATCTAACTGTTCATGGGGAGACATTACTGTCCCAGTAGCAGCATGGCTGAAGCCACAGGGACTCATGGCAAGCATAGTGGATCTCATACCACACTGCTGACTCCACTATTGCCACGAGTGTCATTCCATCTATCAGATGGTAGGTACAGTACAACTCCACATAGCATGCAGGTGAAATTTCCCTAGACCATAACCAACAAATGTCATTTTAACATACGCATCCTGTATAAGCCATTTTTGAGGTGCAATTCACCTGACGTGTTTAGTATTGATGAGTGGTCATTCTTAACATTCTTTCAGCAGCAGCTGCAGCACGTAGTCATCAGTCCCAAAGGACTACAACAGCAGGGCCCTAAAATTACTAATGTAAAATGTAAGTGGTGTTGACAGGAAACTATTGATCTGTTCAGTTCTACTCTCACATAAAGAACTACAAATCAGTCATGAGCCCCAAATTCACAGAACCTCCCATACATCAGCTTCTCCCTACCTGGAACCACCTCCATGTATTGGGGAAGCTTTCAAGTCCCCTGTGTGAACCCTTGCGACAGGCGGCCTTGGGACAGGTGCCTTTCTATTAGCAATGGCCTCTCTCCATGTCAGAGCAAAACACAGGCATAATCAATTGACCCAGGATGTGTTAGAAGGGAACCTCGTGGAGTACAGTTGGTTGCTCATGCCTCATTCCCAACAAAGAATATATCAGACTTCTTTGCTCCTGATATCTTCATTCCAATCATTTTTATCCCAATTAACTGTACTAGAAGATAAGAAATGCTGCCCAGTCAGAGCTCTAAAGTGGTACCTCAATAGTACCAAACTCATCAGGGGAAGTGCAATGAGTATCATTTCTTTATCATTTCAGTTCCTCCTCATTATCCAGCTTCACGAGAAACAATCGCACGCTGGATTGTGACAGCCATCCAGTCTGTTAATCAGAACTGGCTGACTGCATCAAAACAACAGTTAAAGCACACCATGTCAAAGCAGCGTCAACTGCATGGGCCTATCACTGACAAACAGCATGTAAGAAATTCTCCAACACATTCATATTCTGCTAGCTTTGGGATATTCTCCAATCTGAAGGATGTACCAGAAGAGCAGCATTGCTGACAGAGACGCAGCCCTGTAGTCCACACAGATCAACCTTCAACAGCAGCCTCACTAGATGGGATACAGGATCAAGATACTTTTTTATATAATACTTTGCCCAACTCAATTACTTTGCCATATATATTTACCTAATGAGTAATAACGGCCAGTCCATTTGTTATTAACCTTGCTCAGAAGCGGCTATTATACAAGTAAGATTAGCTCTGTAGACTACCCCTCCCCACAGATGTGTTGGAGGGGTTTACTAGTGGATACACATGGGGGAGGGTAGGAGTTTAAGGAAGTCCCCCACTGAGGAATAAGCTTACGTTTATGTGACAACACACAGAGAGACATGATTGGCTGGGCTTTGCCTAGCATTGCCTAGCCCTGCCTTGTGTGCTGTACAGGTGTGAAGAGAACTTGTAAGGTATCAACTTGGTACGAATGCAGAATTTTATGTAGAGCTTACTTAGAGAAGATGCTTTAAGTGTATAAGGGTTACTAGGGGGCTTAGGCTGCTGGGTTGTTGCTGATTGCTGTGTGCACTTGGCCTTGCAGAATTCTCTCTTGATTTTTTAAAAATCAGTAGTGTTTTCCTTTGGTGTGAAGATAGAGTGCTTTGTCTTGTTGTGTAGAGAATAAGTGGTTCTTCATGAGGGCAGAGAACAGAACAGGTAATCCACACATAGAGGGAGAACATAAGTGATGTGTTCTCGGTTGTGGTTTGAGGATAGAGCAAGTTAAGCCACACAAATTTTAGGGGCGAGACAGCCAAGTGTGGTTGAGTGAGATGAGGATTGGGAGTGTTGTTGATGTACATCTTAGGTATATAGCTTTGTGGTTGACAGCAGTGAAGGGGGACCAACCCAGCTTTTAGTTGCATTTTGGTGGCTGGCCAGCAACTCCAGTAGCTGAAGTAAACCATATGGAGGGGTCCAGATTAAACCACACTGCCTTTTGTGAATGTTAGCATTTTATGGGCAATTCAAAATTTGTAATGTTTTAAATTTTGAATTTTTCCAAAATTGTTTTGACCCACCCACTCCCATTTTTAGTTAAAAAAAACATATTTTTTTCCTTCTGTATTATACCATACATGGTCTCGTTGAATGCCACACCATGACAGCACATGTGTACAAATTCAGCACTCCCTGATATATAATATACTTTCAGATATAAAGCTCCTTTTTCACATCCCCAGCTGTTCCCTCATTAGCTGTGTACATTTATTGTTGGTCTTTCACTTTCCTTTACAGCACTTTCAGGTCCAAAATATCACGTCCTAGATAAACAAAAGCAAAATGTTAACATCAGATTTTTTTGTATGAATCAGCAGTGCATCAGCTGGAATGGGTTGCTTTCATGGACTCGTCATTGCTCAATGAGCCTTGAGATAGACTAACAGAAAATCTGACTTCACTGGACAGTGAAAATACTTGCATTTTACCTAAAAATGAATACTTGAAATTAAATAGGTCCCATAAATAAAGAGGAATATAATTTAGAGCTAATTTGTACAAATATTTCACGAGTTTTTGATCAGTTCAGGTTTATGGGTTGTCAAAGTTCGTTATGTACATGTGTTATGTTGTCACAGAGGATTGCTGGTTCCTGGCTTTTCCATGTCAAATCTCGCTATTTCAAGCGATAGAAACCAGTTTACCATGCATGCTTCTCCTCGTGTGGTTCCACCACACTACATGTATGATGCAAGTTTCTTCGCATTTGGGGGAAGTCTGCAAAGTTTGCAAATTACCATTTACCGCAAATATTTGTGATAAAATTTATGACAAATACATGTGTATACTGTCACATTATGCTGTACGGTGCAGTTGCATAGTTGCATCGGTTTAAGCACGGCTCAGAAAATGCTACAATAAGCTTGGTACCTAGATACTGTGCAGAGCACAGAATCTGAATCTGTATTATGCATGAAATCTTTCCTCACGGTCTCTCTCTTGTCAGAGTACTTTGTTTTTGCATTTCAAAGGAGATTTCTCCCTGCTCTCCAGCCCTTACTTTCAGTCGTATCAAAAAAAAGTCACCTCAATCTTCAAGTAATTCAGAAATTAACTTGAAGCCACAATGGATTCGGAGGACAAACCCTAGGATAATTTCTTGGTCCCCTTATGTCCCCCCCTGGCTCCACACCAGTCAAGTCCTGCTCTGCCCTCTTCTCAACCCTCATGGGCAGTACTGGAAGATGCAGACCTGAAGGGAATGTTGGCGTTGTCTCCTTTCCCTTGAATCTGACACCAATGACTACACTACCTCTCAAGTGGCCTCAATGCCTGAACTAACAGTAGTAAGGTTCTAGCAGGTATTTTGCCAGCCAGACGAGTATCTGTGTCTACCCTTTCGGCTGACCACTCAGATTCATGTCTGCCCCTTCCTCTGGCCTAACTCAATCTTTGAACTTCAATCTTTGTTGATAATCATTACATTATACATAGGGTTCCTTCTACAGTAACTCAGCCCCTGTCAGATTTCGACCCAGGCTTTATTGGTGGATCTGAAGTTGTCTCATTTCACACCCCAGTCCACACATGGGAATGGAGGTTCCTCTACTTAACCCCTTGACGCTGGGACTTTTTTCTGAAAGCTGACTCCAAGAACTCCAGCCTCGCTTGGCCACAAAAGCCACCTGCCAAACCGCAAAATCTCAGTTTGTGGCCCTGTGTGCCCTGCACACTTTGATTTACACAGTGAAAAGGCTCATTGTTTGGTGGTATGCGGCCTATTCACGTTTCCACATTTCCGTTGCCTCTTTTCAAAGTGGGGACTATTGTGAAGCTGGTGATTATGATGCAAATTCAGCCTTTTCATTTCTGGGCACCACCATATGGCCAATCACCATATATACAAGAGCCAGGGTATGCTTCATTTCACCGTGTTCGCTCAAGCATGGGCCGAGAATAATAGCTGAAAAGCGGGCTTAGGGATCTCATTTTGTACGGCGGCTCTTACTGCTTCCCGGCACGAAGGGGTTAATCTACATCTTAGGAACTTCTGAGCTTTAACTCTGTCACTGTCAGTGTCCTAGGAGTCCTCACCTTGACTGGAGCTTACTCTGTCGTCACATGTAAGCTTACCAGCCGTCTTGGATTTTGAAACAATCTCTTGATTCCTGTCCTTGTCCATTCTCTGATTTAACTGAATTTGGCTCTCATCCAGCTCATCCTCTCATCCAGCCTGAAGGTACACCTGGTAGACCTTGATCCTTTTGTTGTATTTATGAGGTCTCACCTACTAACATTCTCCCAGCCCAAATGTGACGCAACTATCTTCCTTCCATACAGACTCTGCCCTGCACAGTGACTGATGTACTTGACAAGCTAAATACTGATCTCCCTGCCCCAACAGAACACTTAATTGCTGTTGTTCTGCACCAATATTCCCTCTCTTATAGATCACATGACACCTTTTTCTTTCCAGCAGGGTATGGTTGCTCGTCCATGCATCCCTCCCCATTTCCTCTGATCCTGACAATTTGGCCAGAATTGGACGGGATATATATCTTCTTTTCATGCCATTCAGGCCTTTCAACCCTGATGCTGCATTTATCCAGGTTTCACGATTTGTTGGGGTCTAAATGTTCTGTCTAAATGTCATTGTGATCCCACAGTACTGTTGCACAGGCTATTAGCAAGACGCCATGTAGAACATCACACCCAGCTAAGTTTGTGTGATCCTAATAGGTTAGGGGAGAATTCCTTTTTTAACCGGTGGTAACTCAAGGTTGTCCCCGAGGTAACTCGGGGTTTTTCACGGTACCGCCAGGGGTTCTCTATAATGAGCTCATTATCTCTGGGTCAATGCACACCAAGCACTGTGGTCATCAAAACCTGGCTGCTTCATCTGGCTGCAATAGAAATGCTTGATTGCGCCTTAATCTTCTTGCTAATCCGCAACGTCCACGGTGACGTCAGAGGCATTGAAGTTGAAAGACAGTCTTTTTTGGGGGGGGGGGGAGAAAAGCCTGAAATTCTTACAAGTCATGAATGATTAAACTTTTGAGTTGACAAGGTATAATTATTAATCCTCTAATCCCCTAGTAAAACCACAAAAGCAGCCTATTGTTTGCCGTGCTTGCCCCAGCTCTTTTGTTACCACGGGGGGATTGAAGCAAGAGATGCAGTTGACCCCAAATATTCATGATGCATTGTATTTATGCAGGGTGTCAAACCCCGAGTTACAGCAGGGTTTAACCTTGAGTTACCGCCGGTTAAAAAAAGAATTATCCCCTTACATAAGAGGTTGCAGTGGATAGATCTTCAGACAATTCATTTGTGAATGCATTTATCTCCCAATAAGGAATTTCTTCCCCTTTTTAGCACAACTTTTTTTTTCCAATTTCATGCTGGAATTTTTGGTTTTGTTTTTATAGTTCATTTAGTGGTCATTACTTTGCTTACCGCAAGGCCATCCAGTATCTTGCAGCGTTTGACTGCCTCTGCTCATTGGCTGAGTTGGCCCAGCAGGAAGGATATTGCAGGTGAGATATTGCTCAAGATGTTTTTCTTGCTAAGAATCAATAAGCTTGGGGCCATTCATCATGTGTGCATCACATTCAAGTTTGAGCTGGTGATATTTCCTTGTTTATTAAGTGTTTTGGACTGGTCTGTTCTGTTTTGTTGTTTTTGGTTGTTTTTTTCTGTGCTATGCAAATATTGGGCCCTGGTGGTTCACTTGTTGGAGTAAATTATGATTAGTTGGATGGTCCTTAGAGCTTACCTAAATAGCTGCAGTCATATTAACGTTGAAAAATGTTTGTAATGGTCCATATATAGTTTCGGTTTAATCTGAAACGTTATCTAAATGTTCAATTATAGGCATTTGTATTGCAGTTGTTAATTTGTTCATTTATGTTATTGTAACGTAGATTCTGTGGTAAGTGCTTCTTAAAATCTTTGCATTAACTTGCCAACATTGATTTAATGTTGACATCTAGTTAGTATGAGAGATTCATTTCCATTGTATTTTCTGTATAAAGATGGCCTTTAAAGTCTTTTTGCAAGGTTGTTCGAACATGGTCCACAATAAAATGTTGAAATAATATCTTTATTTAAATAACAACATTAATTGAATACAGCTTTAGTAAATGATGTTGAAACATCGTTTATAGTGGGTTGGCAAGGTTGGTTGAGCATTTTTCACCAGACAAATTAACTTATCCTTAACATGGATCACCTAACTATGCTAGCATTTCCTCAAAAATTGGCAAGGTTGGTTGAACTGTGGTTTGTAGAACATATCATCAGTTTGTTTATGTTATCGTAGTAAAAACATGGAAAATATTACTGTGTTGTTCTTGCAATTCCTTTCAGGGACGTTTACAGACTATGTAATGTTTAACATAATGTTTCATTAAAAGCTTTCAAAAATGTTCATATAACTTTTTTTTAATTAACCTCGGCAATGTTGATTAAACATAATATCAAGCAAACTGTACCAAACTATATCTAGGCATCAAATGTATATGCAGTGTTTCTTCCACATTTTCATGCTATCTGGTATGTAGCATCTTGTCACAATCATTGTTAATAATCGTATAAAAACTGTAGCTGTGTGAGAAATAAATCAGTGCAAAGCCAAACACTCAAATTTATCTTAATAAAATAATTTATTACCTATTTACAGTCCCGAGGTTCACCCTCTCATAGTTTTGTACAATTCCTCAAATGAGGATATTCATTAAAAAATAGAATCAATTGCTTATTACCCTAACAAATCTCGGAGCCTGTTAGCCTACATTTAGGATTCACAACATTAGTAGTGCTCAAGCTAAATCCACTCAAAGATCTGTGAATTTCCCTCAGGCTTGCCAATGTTTTAAACTATTTTTTGTCAAAATACTGATTTCAGACATACCCATTTCTGTTTTAAGCTTGTACCATGTAGATAAATGTTTGTAGGTACTTTGAAGAACTGTTTTTTCATCGTTGAAAATAATAATTAGAGTGGTTAGGGATATTTAGTCACATAAACATTTTGAAAGTTTGGTGGGACTTGCATCCTTCTTCACATTCGCCACTGTGGAAGCTTCTGACTCACTTTTGTTGACTATCCAAGTTGATTTAAGTCTGTCACAAGGCAGGTAAGCCTATGCTGCTTGCAGTTAGTGTCAAGTTGCATGTTTGTAAACATAACATGTCTTCATGTATATTGCCCTGTTTTGCTTGCAGACCGGTTCTTCATGAGGATTGTCCCTCTGTTCATATTGAGAATGGCAGACACCCAGTCATCAGTACCCTCTTGGGTGAGCAGGAGCAAAATGTGCCAAACAGCACTCACCTTGAGGTGGGTATGGGCTCCATCTGTGAATTACAGAAGGCACTTTGTTACTAAGGATTGACTTATGCACAGAGCACATTACAACCCAAAAAGAAATGTCAGATGGCTTGAAAATTTCTTTGGAAGGTTTTCACTATTGAAACATTAAAAGCAGAGAGGTTGTGAGGATATTTTGGTAGTGTAACGAACAATTGTATAGCCTTTCTCATGTTTTATTGCCATGTTAATCTTTCGTACGGATGTGGGCAGTTTTGTTGTTATGGACATTGTATGCAACTTCCAAATTCAGTTGACAAACAAATTAACTTGTGGAACAAATTTTTTTGCTTATAGTTGTAGCCTATATTCAAGTGTTAAATACATTAAAGAAAATTTGCTTTAGCTTCACTGATTCATTAGCTACAAGCATGAAAAATGAATCTTACGAACATTACACATTGTGACATGGTTTTTGACCTCGGGTACATTTAAGAAAACTCTGTGAAGTTGCTTCCTGTAGCTTTTTATACATACTCTCCTATGTTGCAGTTGGCCTAAATCCATTCTGTCCAGGGCTTGAATTGACAGTTAGAAGAAAGTACCCCTGTAGAGTCCAATTTTGTGAATTAAAACTTTTATGGACATTACAGTTTGTATTACAGACATTACAGAAATATACATGTAAAGAAAACAGATGTTGAGAATTATTTTATCCATTATCATTTTCTATATGGCAGTGGTGCCATGATATCCCCCCAGATTCATTAAATTGAGGTGTTCCCCTAACTAGCCATAGAAAACAAATTATAAAATCAATTTGACATTTCGACAGTCATGTCACAGTTGGTGTGGAATTGTCCATGTGCACTTGTAAACATTATGCATTTTGATCAAAATGCACTGGACATGCTGAAGAAGTCACAGCCAGAATACAGGCATATCTGAAAAGAGGCCATCAGTATGATGGCACCACACACACGTTTCTTAAACTTGAGATGCACATGCAATTTGGGCCTAGCTTATAGCAGCATTCGCAATGCCCTATAGCAACACACGCCACAACGAGAGCACCAAGAACTCACGTCTATACAGCTTCGCTGAACTAGCAGAAACCTAACAAAAAGCAAGCTTCACCCACTTACGCATTCGCCTTGAACACGCGCAAACCATGGAGCTTACTAGCTACACGTACACAGAGCACTATGCTCCGCCCATCCTGTTTACGTCACAAGACATGTACACACTACAACACTCTATTGACCTTCACGTCAGCCACTGTTTTTGATGTTTACCAGGCTCACAGTACACAGTTGAGGATCCACACACTGGTTACATGTGCATGTGTTGCACTCTGTCACGATTTACTCAGGACTAGTCTACTACATGTGCTTTTAGGAAGCAATTATACAACTATTGGAGGAGAGTAGTATGCACATACATGTACCTGTATGAACAAAAACCAAACTACAAAACAAAAAGTTGACCATGCGTACACACAAGGCTGGATGTCTGACTTAATAGAAGACTGTGTGGGCCTAGCAATAGCATAAATTTGTGCCAGGAACTGGGACATATGGCGAATGGGAGGGGGGTTAACTTGCTTAGCCATGGAAATTTGGAAAGCAGTTGTGGGAGGGTGTTGCTGACACTTGGGGGCAGTTTTCATGATGCAGATGTACACCTATGATATGTACAACACTCTTGCAAAACCTTACACCGGAACTGTGTATTTATGGCCTAAAATTGTTCTCCTTTTTTAGTGCTAGTGAAAGCATTTTGGGTGTTGAAAAGTCCAAAAAAGTCTGCACAATCTGCCTTAATTCCTTCTTACCAAGAAAAGTTGGGGGATGATTCAATTGCCCATTCCCTGGTCAAACAGTGAAGGGGGTGTATACCCCCAACCCCTTCCCCACTACCCCGGGATTTAGGCCCTTGGAGCCAAGCTTAAATGTGCATAAGCCATGTATAAAGTGCCTGTCCTACCTTGCTTGTGAATTCTGAGGTATGGTTCCCATTGAATGGTTTGGCAACCGGTTTCTCAATTGTGTAGTAAAAGAAAATTCTGTGTTATGCATGCACGGCTCAAATCTCTCAGAATGGATGTGCTGTGTTGGAGTGTGACAGGAATTGTTCAACAGCAATCTGCATTTTGACAGCTTGACAAATCTTTGCACAGTGCTCATGAGGAAGGAAATTCATCTTTTTCTGTCAGTTACCTGACCTCTGGGTATTGTGAAGTTTTGCGCAAAGTTTATCAATGTTTTTCTTTGCTGAATTTTCCAGGGGCATGGTAAGCATTGCATGATCATCACTGGACCCAATATGGGCGGCAAGAGCAGCTACGTTAGACAAGTAGCATTGATCACTATCATGGCTCAGGCAGGGTTCTGGGTGCCAGCAGAGGCAGCCAGGCTTGGAATCATCGATGCTGTATATACAAGGTATTTTGGATTTTATTTGCTGTACAGACTAGGACATGGCCAAATTACCTGGCTACAGCTTCAAATTACACACAGCTGTACAGGAAGTGGCTGCAGCAACTACCATAGAGTTATGCATAATTTCAAGCCATAGCCATTGTTGAACACTAGTAAGACTAAATAGGGTAAGGCACATGTTTATGTGATGTTTTGTGAATACTGTTAAAATTTTCTTTGGTTTTAAAAACAATTTTGTCTTGAAAATGCCTGTCCCTTTGTCCCGTGAGGTGATTCTTCCTTTAAATATTTTAAAGTCAAGCCCTTTCTGATGCCAGGTTTTCATTGTTTATTAAACTCCACCACAGTTTGGGATCAGTTTTGCATCCTTTGCCCTGAGCGGCCATTTCTCTGGTGTATCTCCATTAAACCATGGATTCCTTACCTGAATTGCAAAAAATCCCAAGAGCTCACTAGGTAAATAACCCTATTTTAACAATTCAGGGGGAATTTTGTTGAGATACTTCATACTATATATATAACGGTTTTGCCCGTACCCAACGTATGTTAATAAGCACTGTATGCTCAGTGCTGTCCGAGAGCTTGCGAAAAAACCTCACAAGCTTACTCGGGTACTTCATACTTTTGAGATGTTCTGTTTTAGTTTGAATGTTGCTGCATCATCAGGCAAGTTGTAAGCAGTGATTTTTGTAGGTACGGGACAAACGATGTAGATGGTGAGCTGTAAAGCTTCTTCTGAAGTTGCGCGGGGCCAGGGGCTTTAAGTGGCCATGAAAAAGTATACTTTCGGGGTTGTAGGATTAGTAACAACCCCATACTGTGTCAGCCATTAACATGCTTCAGCATGTTTCAGCCAGCTTTTCTTGAATATCTTTGGTATCATGATAACTGTGTGAGATTTTTAATGCTTTATTGAAGTATTTATTTGCTTCCTCAGAGCCTGGTCCTACACCAAGCTCCAACAAAGGCCCAGTCAGGCTGAAAATTCAGCACCTAACATCTGATGAGAACTTTTCATTTCTATTTCCCCATCTCATCATCAGTGCTACTACGTCTATTTTTTATCATGTGAAACATAGATTTTGTGTCTTGATTGGTCAGGAGCTATCGCACGTTTTTGATTGGTTAGGAGCTATCGCTCATTTTTGCTACTTTGCTGTGCATGGCCAAAAGAACTATAGCCATAGACTGGCAACCTAAGGATGCACAGAAGCCTTCGGTGTGGGGCGTCGTGCCAGAGCAACGGGACTCGCAGTTCATCCAGGTTATTCTTCTGGTCAGAGATAAAAAAAATGGCTTGCCAAGAATGATTCACAAAGGTGGCTACAGGAATTCAGGACAGTAACAGACAAGCAGAGATAATGCATTTGTCACGAGGCAGCGGAGATGCATGAGAGCATTCAACATGAAAATATTTGCACACAACGACACTCAGCGGAGGCTCGACTCATGGCAGAACAACGTGAGAGGCAATTAGAGGACAACTACCAGCAGGCGCGGAATTGGAGTTGGAAAGGCAGTGCTTGTAACAACAGCTTGATGAAGTGGACAGCCAAGGAGAACTCCCACTGAAGTTAATGCAGGACTCTGGAGAATCTGTAAATGCTCGAACAGATGCCTGGATAAACAGTTCCATGAACAATAATTCGAACTCAAGCTGTAATGGTGTAAAGAGTGCTGCACCAGTAATTACAATGATGTCATTAGTCATGTACCACCTTATACATCTAATGTACCGTTAGGTTTAACCTTGCCTTTAAGTACTAGCACAAACCATGTATTAATGGGGATAGCTATGTTGTTTAGAATTCCCCTTATGTGTATAATACAGGTTTTACTCTTCAAAATGCAGGTTACACCTTCACCTCTACACCTAACCCCATCCTACCCCATGATGCCTACTGTCTTCCAAGGTGCAGCCCAGAGTCCCAGAGTTACGGCAGTGCCCCAGCTTGAAGTGCATGACTCAAGTCAGCAGCCACTGATGGTCCAGATGACCCCACTTGGCGTGGTGTCTCCTCCAAGGTGGGCAGTTCACCCAATTGCTGGCACTACAACAATGAGCCAAGACTCACTTCAATCTCATCCCAGAAGCGAATCCTATGACCACCATAGTGATGACCCATAGCATAGCCCAGATGGAACTGGCCCTCTGGAAAATGACTCCTTCCATTGCCAGATCAGTAACAAGTCTCCCCAAATGACTGCCCTCAAACATGCAGTGACTTATCAGTGTAGCTACAGCATGTGTGCGAACAGTCAGCCCAAACTGGAAGTACCGAAGTTTGATCTTGAACACAATGTGAAGCACTATGTCATATTCCAGTCATTGTGGGACATCATCATGAGCAAACCAGAGTTTCAGCAAAATTTGCTTACCTGCGTAGTAATCTAGGCAGGCGACCTCTTGCGATGACAGATCGCAACATGATCCTTGGCAATAAGGCCTATGCAACAACAATGGAAGAATTTGACAAGGCCTTTGGAGACAGAGGAGGAATTGTGCAGGGCCTCTTGACTTAGCTAGACAACCATGCAACTGTCACCTATGACGACTGGGCTGGCCTGAGGGACTTTTCTGACGAACTGACGACCCTAGTCGAGACTGTAAGGTATCTTAAACTTGAGGCAAAAATGAAGAATCATAAGTACGCTGTGGAGTTTGCCCTGAAATTACCAGAAGTTGCATACTGAGTTCCTGTTCAAGATGTCAAAGAAGGAGAGGGGTCAGACATATATGGTTGTGAATCTGAAAGAGTGGCTGGAGAACAAAACTGGTCCAGGAGGATTCATCCTTCTTGAAAGGTAACAGAAGAAACTCGGAAAGAAGGCTCAGAAACAGTGGGGGTCACAATCCACCAGGCTCACACTGCTCAGCCAGCAAGTGATCTAACCATGTCCAAAGGTGCTCCTACAGCAGCCAACGCAAATAAGTCATTGACTGCTGGAAAAGCTGGGTGTAAACGTCTAGTAAATGAAGTTATGAATTTTTAAAGAATTTTGAAAACAGTAAAAATGAAAAAAAATCACCTGGCCCAGCAGAATCAACATGGATAAATGGGCCCAGCATGAAGTGGACAACACTGTATGGGCCATCTGGGCAACTTGATACCTATGGAGTTCTAGATGAATGCATCATGATACTCCTTGGTCCAGCTGAGACAGTGCGCATTGAGACCGTCATTGGAGATGCTGACTGGAAGGGCAAGTGTGTTGATTTCACTGTTTCTGCCTGAGGTGATCCTGAGCAGAAGTTCCAGATCACGTGCACCCTCACCACAGAGGAATTCCAACTGGCTATCTATTGGCACAGAAGCTGCAAACTTCTAAGAGTTGCCTCTATTCAACGCAGACAAAGCGCAACCTACAGTTTTGATTGGGGCAGATCATATAGAGCTGACTCTGTCGACTGAGGTGAGAACTTGTCCCGAAACTAGTTTGCCTGTTGCAGTAAAGACCCTCTTTGGATGGACTGTCCAGGAAAAACAGGGACTTCAGCATCCCGGCAAGTTAGAAACCCCTCAGCAGGTGTTCACAGGATGTCAGCAGCCTGAACATGATCTCTGTAGAATGATGGAAAGATTCATGGCCATTGATAGATTGCCTCACAAATAAAAAGGAGGCAACACACTCCCATCATGATAAACTTGTCATTCAAATCCTTGAAGAGAAGAGTACACGAGTGGAGGTGCAAGAAATATGATACTTGCAAACACCTCTTCTGTGGAAACCTGGCTCAAGTTCTCCTCAAGGCACCCTATGAGCTGTTGAACCCCTGCTTGTGCACATAAAAGGAAGATGGACAAAGACTCAAAAATTGAGGAGTTCTGTACCACGTACATCCAGAAGCTGAAGAAGCAGGGACATGTCCAGGAACACTGTTCTTGTGCTTGTTGCGAGCACCAGACAGTGTCTTCATTAATCTGGTTTTGAGATGGTCAAATATGCCAACAGTCATCCTGAAGTGGTAAAATTTTTCCTGCTGAGGTCTACTCCAATCGTCACATTTGATCTTTCTCCCTGGACAACCTGGGGTGTGAATTGGAACCAGTTTTGGGCGTGAGTTGGGATTGCAAACTTTGCCACCCGGCCAAAATCCCTGAGAACCAAGCACTTACTAAATGCAATGCCTGTCGATTACTGGTCAGTCAGTTTGAACCCCTAGGGAGCATGGCACCCTTCATTGCCCGAGCCAAGATGATCATACAAGACTTGTGGTTGAAAAGGCTAGACTGGGACGAAGTCATGACCTACTCCGACATCAAGCAGAGGTAGAGTGACTGGAGTGCAGAACTTGAGCATGTCCTGTCCATACGATTCCCATGATGCTTCACTCCTTCCCATGTTGATAGTGCTACTGTTAAGAGTTCTCTGCATGTGTTCTGTGATTCGTTGAAGAGGCTGTACGGGGCAATGGCATACATTAGGTCAGTAGACCCTTATGGACAAGTCTGGTACAGTTTGTCCTAGTCAAGTGGCTCCCCATCACCGGATGTCTAGGGCAATGTCTTAGGGCATTGGATGTTGCCATCCAAAATATGATGATGTGGAGTGATTCAACTACCGTGCTGACATGGATACAGTCTGAATCCTGTCACTTCAAAGTCTTTGTTGGCACACGCATTGCTAAAATCCAGACTTTGACCACTGGCAGTGAATGGTGTTATGATTGTTCTGCCGACAACCTAGCAGATGACATCACCATGCAGAGGACTCTCAGTTTCCGAGTTGGGTCCGGCTCCCATTGGTTGCTTGCCAAAACCTGACAAGTGGCAGGGGACGTCAGTCTTAGCCCAGACTTGCGCAACATCTCCCTCTGATCCTAGCAAGATGAAAGCATCTGTCTTCTGTGGTCTCACTATGGCAAGCCCTGTGGCTGAACTCAACTTCAGTAACCACCAAAGTTGGCCTGACCTTGTCATTTCCTTCATTGGAGAAGTTTTCCAGCAGACGGAGGGGAAAATGGGGTTCAAACCCCCCAACATGTACTCGAAGTGGAGAAC